GCCCACAACCTATATTCTTTTTTTTTTTTGTCCTTTTTGAGACCGGCTGAGCGCAGGGAGCGCACTGGTCATCCCTATATAGGATCCGAACCTGCAGCGGGAGCGCTGCTGCACTCCCAGCGCCACGGGCTCGGCCCACAACCTATATTCTTTTTTTTTTTTGTCCTTTTTGAGACCGGCTGAGCGCAGGGAGCGCACTGGTCATCCCTATATAGGATCCGAACCTGCAGCGGGAGCGCTGCTGCACTCCCAGCGCCACGGGCTCGGCCCACAACCTATATTCTTTTTTTTTTTTGTCCTTTTTGAGACCGGCTGAGCGCAGGGAGCGCACTGGTCATCCCTATATAGGATCCGAACCTGCAGCGGGAGCGCTGCTGCACTCCCAGCGCCACGGGCTCGGCCCACAACCTATATTCTTTTTTTTTTTTGTCCTTTTTGAGACCGGCTGAGCGCAGGGAGCGCACTGGTCATCCCTATATAGGATCCGAACCCGCGGTGGGAGCGCTGCCGCACTCCCAGTGCCGCACTCTCCCGAGTGCGCCACAGGCTCGGCCCACAACCTATATTCTTAGAGGGGCCCTGAGTGGCCTGGAGAAAGAGCCTTGAAGCTGGTGGCAGGCGGCTGATTCAAAAGGCTGCAGGGCGGGTTGGGAGGAACTCAGGGCTGAGAGGCTGGAGGTAGCCAGACAGTGGGAAAGGGGAAGAAGCCCAGGAGCCCGGAAGCACGATGTGGAGCCGCAGGAAGGAGAGGTGACGTGCTGAGGTGGGAGCGGTGCTTCCCTGGGGTGAGGCCAGAGGCCAGAGGCCACAGCCAGGGAGCATTTGTTCCCAGGCAGCCTCGGCCTCTAAGCGGATTCTGGGAATAGCATCCAACACCAAACTATCCTGCATGAGATTCTTTTGGTAACTTTTATTTTGCTGTAACTTCAAACTTGCAAAAAGTTCAAAACATCAAAAGTTGCAAGAATAGTACAAAGAACTCCCTTATGCCTTTTCCCCATCTCACCAGGTATTCGCATGTTGCCCCATTCAACACGCCCTCTCCCACTCTGCCTGTTTGGTTTCCAAGTCATATGAAAGTTCGGGACAGACATGTTGGCCCCTTACTCCTTGTGATATTATGAAATATATACATGGCCTTCATCCTGTTTCCTGACATACAATTCCCAAGATCCTTGGAATCTTCGAAGTAATAAGTGTCTTTTTGTATGCTAATGAGTTGACTGGTGGCTGGCAGCCCCTAGGTAGCTTTGAGATGGGGGCTGGTCACCAGAAAGACCAAGGCCAGATTAGAGGGGTGGGATTTTCAGCCCCGCCCCCTCTATCCTTCTGTTCTCACAAGTACCTTCTGTTCCAACCAGACCCACTGCCCCTGGGGTGACAAGCTCTTCCTTACTTCCTGTGTAGCACCTGGTGTTCCCACAGCCTGAATTGCCTTGTCTCCCTTTGTCACCTGATAAGCAGCAGCAACGTCCTCGTCCTCAAAGACCCAGCTCAAACTCATCTCTGTGAGGCATTCCCCAGTCCCAAAAAGATTGAGTGACCCCACAGCTCTGGGAACTCGCCCTCCTGGGCTGGGGCTGCCTGTCCCATCCCCTGGCTTCCCTAGGCCCCAGCTTGTGGCCCTGGCACTCAGAAAGGGCTTGCCCCCAGGAAGGCTCAGAGCTGCAGGACAAAGGGCAGAGGAAGAGGCAGTCCCCGGTCCCTGGGCCTCCCTGTGACTTGAGCTCCCCTTCCCTTGGGAACTTTGGGGCCGGCAGGAGGAGGCCGGAGTTCCAGCACATGTCTGGGGCAGATGCGCGTTCCAGCCTCATTTTGTGTAAGAAAGGCTCACCACAGGAACCGCTGGCCTGACCAAGCCTGATCCCCTGACAGCCTGGGCTTTTGGAGCAGGGCTCCAAGGGACATTCTGAGGAGCTGCGAGAGAGGTTGCAAGACGGCAGACTCCGAGAAGGGGAGGAGGAAATGGCCGTTCTCCCCGCTGGCTGCCCGGCAGACAGCCGTGGGGGCCTCCTTCCTGTGAGGGACTAGGCCCAGGGTTCAGACCTCTGAGCCTTCCATCTCCCCAAACCACAGCCCAGAGGTGTGAAAGAAAGAAAAAAAACAGGGGGAGGGGTGGCAAAAAGAGCCAGGTGCACATTTCACACCTTGACCACAGGTGGGGCCCTGAGCGCTTCACTCTGACTAACTTCCTCCTCAGGCTTCCCCGCGGGCTGCTCTGGAGTGCAGGAGCAGGAGGCCCTGGGCTGGGCAGCTTTCTCCAACCGCTGGGCCTGGCTCTGACCTGGTCTGGGGGCTGCTTGGGACCAGAAAAGGGCTTGGCTCAGCCCCATGACATAGGGAACTTCCAAGGCATCTCAGCTGTGAAGGAGGACAGAAGACCCCCACAGACCTGCCATCTGAGGCATGGGAGGGGCTGGTTTGCAAAGTTTCTAGATGGGGAGGAGGCTGCTGCTCACTGGGCACCTACCCTGCACCAGAAACGTTCTGCACGGATCATTTGGAACCCTATCAAATGCATGCTATCCTTAGCCCCACTTTTCAGATGAGGAAACTGAGGCAGAGAGATGAAATGATTTGCCCTGGATTACATAGCTGGGCAGCCAGAGGATTCGGCTAGGACTGGCGATCCCTGCCCCCAACTATGGCAAGGGACAGCCCTTCTGGAGGACCGGTCCTCTGGGCAAGTCCTGCCTGCATGTCCCACAAGGCACCACCATCTGTGGCAGGCTCCCCTGACACATAAGGCTCGCAGTGGCTCTAGGTTTGTAGCCAATATCCCTCTCACTGAGCATTCTCAACTGTGCTCCTACTAAGCCCTGGGCCCTGTGCTAGGAGCCTACAGCCTTGAGCATCTCATAACAACCCTGCTGAGGAAACCAACTCAACAGGGTTATGTAATTTGCCCGCAGTCCCACAGCTCAATCAAGGTGGAGTCAGGGCTGGAGCCCAGTCAAGTTCAGCATGTTCTCCCCGGGAACAGCGAGAACAGCCCATCCCTACAGCCCAGGCTGCCCTATCAGGGTCCAGCTCACATATCTGGATGTCAGGACTCAGAAAGAAAGCTCTCTGCACCTTTCCAAAGCTCCTGCCCTCACCTCTCACTTCTCCTTCCCAGCAACCTGGGAAGGTGAACCATCATCCCCAGGTGATAAATGAGGAGAATGGAGCACAGGAAGGAGACCAGGGATCCCTAGATCTTTGTATCATGCATGGACCAGTAACATTTCCATGTATATTTGGAGGACCCACATTGGGTTGTCAACTTCTGCCAACACAAGGTATTTCCAAAACCACCATCTATTTTCACCATCATTTCATAAAGAAAAGGTCCTTTTAATACCAAACGAGATGAAGAACATAACTGCAGAGTACAAGACAGTCCTTTAAAATGAACAAAAGGTAGCTTTTTTTTTTTTAAGATGACCAGTAAGGGGATCTTAACCCTTGACTTGGTGTTGTCAGCACCACGCTCTCCCAGTGAGCAACCGGCCATCCCTATACGGAATCCGAACCTGTGGCCTTGGTGTTATCAGCACCACACTCTCCCGAGTGAGCCACGGGCCCGCCCCGAATGTAGCTTTTTGTGGTCCTTTCTCATTTGCAGAAGCCCAGTGAACTCGAACCTCTTCCCCGAACGGCCTGGGGAGACCGTGGCCCCAGCTCCCATCCCTTTTCTACTGCCATAGGCAGTCACTTGCCAAGTCCTACTCATCCCAACTGGCCTGGCTTCTGGAATCCTCCGAGTCCCCTCCACTTGCAGTGCTCCTGACCTTCTCCAGACCCTCATTTCTCTCTGACTTGAACACTGCAGGAGACAAGCAGTTTCAGAGCAAGGACAGTCACCTCTGTCTGACAGCTTTTCCTTCAAATTGGGAGGTCCCTATGTAGTCCCCAACCCCATTCCCCTTCTCACCCCATGAACTAGTGTCTCCAGTCCCTGTTTTCAACTTGGAAAACAAACAGCCATATCCAAAACAATACGGTACTGCTTTTTTGTGGTGGTTTTTAGAACTTACATAAGTGGTGTCAAATCATACCCGATGTTCCGTAACTGCCTCTTCCACCATGGGTCATTGGCTTTTCTAGATATATCCATGTTAAAACATGCAGCTTTAGGCACTGTAAAGATGGTTACTAAAAAATATGTAGCTTTAGTTCATTTGTTTTTCACTGCATGAATATTTCATAGTTTATCCATTTAAGAAAAACTGAAGGCAGCATGACAAATGGTAAAAGGAGAGTCAGATGTCCATAGGTTCAATCCTCCAGCCTCCCTTACTCGTTGTGCTTGCGGAGGCCTTTCCCCTTCTGAATCATCCATGGGGACAACCCCCGCCTCACAAGGGAGTTGTGTGGCTGGAATGAGGCAGTGTCAGAGAAAGCACCTAGAGCAACAGCTAGCACATGGCAAGTACATTACTGGTAGTTTCCTTTCCTTTTCCCAGGCGATTAGCGGGGAGTGGTGATAGTAAGGAACTCGATTCGCTGTGACCGATTTCTTTAAAATATTTTAATTTTTTAAAAAGGTTAATCTCCTTTCCAGACTTAACAGCTTTTATGATCCAGTCTTTACAATCATGCAAAGATCAACTCCAGCCCAGGACAGATGAGCTCAAGGTCATCCAGTGTACTGAGCACTGACCATCCTCATGCAGAAGCAATCCTGCCCCTGGCAGTAGGGCTGCCCCTCACCTCCCAGCTGCGCTGCTTCTCCTTCAGACCTCTCCCTTCAAAGGATCTGCCCCCACCCAGCCACCCCCTGCCCTTCCCTAGGACCCAGACCCTTCAGAGCAGCTTCCCCAGCCATAGGCTGGGATAGGAGCTCCTTGTGGCCTGGGATCTAGGGGGTTCTGGTGCTAATAACCCTCTGGAAGAGGCTGCTGCTGAGAACCGCGTGAAACCCTCACTTCCTCTGTGCAGCGCAGGTTTCCAACCACAAGCACCAAAGCAGAGGGGCAGGCAGCACGCAGCCTGGCAGCCAGAGCACCAGCCCAGCCATGGGCCCTGAGGTAAGTGCTGCTGCCCACCCAACCAGTCCACAGCTCAGGTGGGGAGTCCAGGGCACTAGGGAAACACTGAGGTTAGTCTGTGGCCCAGGATCACCAGTGGGCTGGAGTAGGTGGAGGCTGCAGGGTTGCGGTAGAAGGAGCACTAGATGGGGGAATTGCTTGGCCACTGACCACAGACAGGTCTCCAGACTTGGTGCTTCATCTGCAAAATGGGGGCTGGGCGGCAGAGGCTCAATTTTGATGACCTCCAAGGCTCCCTTCAGCTCTGACTTGGAACTTTGACTCTTGCGTGCTGGATTGAATTGGCACTGGGGAGGCCTGCAGCTCCGGGGTGGTTTGGGGTGGGAGTGAAGCTGCTAGAGCTTGGTGGGGGAGCACCCAGTGGGTGGCTAAATGGGTGTGCAAACCTCAGTGTAGGGGAGAAAAGGACGGGCAGAAAACGTGTTGGGGGGGCAGAGATTTGCAGAGAGGCCCCACAAGGGGCAGGAAGTTGGGGTCTCCAGACGAGGACTAAGGAGGGAAGAGGAGGGCCAGTGACTGGGAGAGGGGACAGTGGGGAGGTGCCTGGGGAGGAAGGTGGCTGAACTAGGCATGGCCAGGCCACTGAGGACTTGAAGAGAGAGAGTCAGAGAGAGCTATGGGCATGGGACAGGGGCTTTTCTTCCTGCTCAAGATCCCTGGGCCAATGGGATGGCCCAGAAGGGTGAGAGAAGCAGCTTTTGAAAAGGGAAGTCACCATCCCGGAGCCCAGACTGGGCAGATGGAGTTCAGAAGGTGTGGCCCTGGAAGAAAGATGGAGCTGGTTACAGGGTCTGGCCTGGGCCCCGGGGTCTACCTGACATAGGAGCTGCTCAGAGAAAGCTCAGCAGACTAAATCACCAAGGAGTGGCTGCCTGGCCTTTACGTGGTTCCCTGCCTCCCTCCACAGGTGAGCGAAAGCCAGGTGCTAGATGCCTCTGACTTTGCGTATCTGGAAAACTTCAGCTCTCCCTATGACTACAGCGACAACGAGAGTGACTCCTGCTGTGCCTCCGCACCCTGCCCTCAGGACTTCAGCCTGAGTTTCGACAGGGCCTTCCAGCCGGCCCTCTACGGGCTGCTCTTCGTGCTGGGGCTGCTGGGCAATGGCGCTGTGGCGGCCGTGCTGCTGAGCCAGCGGGCGGCCCGGAGCAGCACCGACACCTTCCTGCTCCACCTGGCCGTGGCTGATGCGCTGCTGGTGCTGACACTTCCGCTCTGGGCAGTGGACGCTGCTGTCCAATGGGTCTTCGGCTCGGGCCTCTGCAAAGTGGCAGGTGCCCTCTTCAACATCAACTTCTACGCAGGGGCCCTCCTGCTGGCCTGCATCAGCTTTGACCGCTACCTGAGCATCGTGCATGCCACCCAGCTCTACCGCCGGGGTCCCCCGGCCCGCGTGACCCTCACCTGTGTGGCTGTCTGGGGGCTCTGTCTGCTCTTTGCCCTCCCGGACTTCATCTTCCTGTCAGCCCACCGGGATGGGCGCCTCAACGCCACCCACTGCAACTACAACTTCCCCCAGGCAGGCCGTGCGGCCCTGCGGGTGCTGCAGCTGGTAGCCGGGTTCCTGCTGCCCCTGCTGGTCATGGCCTACTGCTACGCCCGCATCCTGGCTGTGCTGCTAGTCTCCCGGGGCCAGCGGCGCCTGCGAGCCATGCGGCTGGTGGTGGTGGTAGTGGTGGCCTTTGCCCTCTGCTGGACCCCCTACCACCTGGTGGTGCTGGTGGACACCCTCATGGACCTGGGGGCCTTGGCCCGCAACTGTGGCCTAGAAGGCCATGTGGATGTGGCCAAGTCGGTCACCTCAGGCCTGGGCTACATGCACTGCTGCCTCAATCCACTGCTCTATGCCTTTGTGGGCATCAAGTTCCGAGAGCGGATGTGGATGCTGCTCATGCGCCTGGGCTGCCCCGAGAGGTGGGGGCCCCAGCGACAGTCAGCATCCACCCGCCGGGATTCGTCCTGGTCTGAAACCACAGAGGCCTCCTTCTCAGGCTTGTGAGGATGGAATGGGGGCGCCCCTCTGGCCCACGCAGCCTGATCCTCCCCACCCCCCAACATGTTCCGAGCTCCTCCCTCCTTCCATGCTGGGCCAGCTCTGGCTGCCCCCACAGCCTCACTCCTGGGATCCACTGGGAGCGCCAGAACTGCCAGGTCTCCCAGGGAGCCGCCTCTCGGCTCTGGGGGCTGCGCCATTGCTGCCCCTTAGCTGCCAAGCCCGTCCTGCCGCTTCAGAGGCCCTGCCTAGAGCCCTGCTGTATTTCTAGCTCAGCCACTAGAAGTTGACCTGCCCCAAGTGCAGAGTGTACAAGGCAAGCCCAGGCCTCCAGCTCTGCAGCAACTGCGGTTGTGCTCCCCAAGACCTCTGTACTTGCTCCCTTCTATTTTTGTCTAAAATCCTGCTTAAAACATTTCAATAAACAAGATGAGGACCAGGATGTGTTCATGCTTCATTACAGCCAGCCCCGACTGGGCTTGGGGGATGCGCTTCCTGCTTCTCCCTGCCTGGCCCTGGGTCTGTGCCAGCCCTTCCTGCCCTTGTTAGTGTCTCTCTGCCCTACTGGCCACAGCTGGTATTCACAGGGAAGCACCCAGGTACATGGGCGCAGGGGGAGCAGTTAGACAGCTAGCTGGCTGGACTCTCTGGGTGTAATTTGGGGAAGGGGCCAGGAGACACAAATAAGACATAGTCCTTGCACTCCAGAAGCTCAGCCAGCAGGGAAGATGTGGGAAGAACTATCAATCCCAAGCCGTCTATGCCATGAGACACAGGAGCAGCACACAGGGCTCAGAGCACTGAAGGCTTCCTGAACACTTAAAGGCCAAACAAGATGGCCAAGGGTGAAGAGAAGGACAGTATTTCCAGGCAGAAGGGAAGGCTGCAAATAGCAATGATTACTGGAGGGATTATAACTGGTCACAATTGGCTAGACTTAAGGGTTGGATAGGTGAAGGGGTGGAAATAAGACTGAAAGGTAGCTTGGGATCAGGCAATGGCATCATAGACCAGTTGGAAGGCCGTGTTGGTTATTCAGGTGTGAGCTGACACAGGCTTATAGGGAAATGGCCGTGGGCTTGAAGAAAAGCAACACAGCCCCCCTAGGGGTGGGCTGTAGGGAGCATTTCTCCACCATTATCACTGGGGTTTAAGTGCGTGGAAGAAATAACCTGGGCTTTCCAGAAGGGCAGGTGACAGGGCTACCAAGTTAAGGCAGAGCTGAAGGGTGGGTCCACCGAACTAACCCAACTACCACTTCCCCCAAGGAAGCCACAGATGTGCCATGGTCCAGTTTCACAGGCCAGCTGCGCCCTTGCTCAGACTACAGATATGGCTGGAGGAGGGAACAGGGAGGAGGGAGGCAAGGAGTTAGCTGGAACCTATCCATCTAGTCTTGGGGTTAAGAGTCTGTGGCCACACAAAGAACACCCTAAACCTCCACAATATGAAGGAAGGAAAATGACAACAACATCCTGTCTGGAAAGAGTATCAGTGATGCTAGACTATAAAGATGTTTGTGGCAGGCCAAAAAATGAGCCTCCAAGACATCCACGCTCTAATCCCCAGAGCTTGTGAATATGTTACCTTATATGGCAAAAGGGAATTGAGACTGCTAATTGGGGATTTCAAATACAAAGACTCACCTGGATTATCGAGGTGGGCCCAATGTAATCTTGAGGAAGTGTAAGAGGAAAGCAGAAGGGGAGAGGGAGAGAAAGATGTTGCTGGCTTTGAAAGTGGAAGATGGGGCCACAAACCAACAAATGTGGGCAGCCTCTAGAAGCTGGAAAAGAAAACAGATTCTCCCCTAGAGCCTCCAGGGAGGAATGCAGCCCCATCAACACCCTGATTTTAGCTCAGTGACACCCATGCCAGACTTCTAACCTCCAGAACTGTAAGAATAAATTTGTGTTGTTTTAAGCCACTATATTTTGGTAATTTGTTGTGGCAACCACAGGAAACAATACAATGTTGATTCCCATCCACATCCTGCATATCTCCCAGAAGAGAAGAGGAGGCTGCTGAGTACTTGTGGGCAGTCACAGAAATCAGAGACACACAGGCTGGAGAGTGCTCTTCCAGACACGTCCCGGAGGGCTTCAGATGTCTGGAGTCTTGGACCAAAGACCCGAGGGTTTGTTCTGCTCTAGGCACATGGAGTCAATGAACAGACTTTGCTAACAAGTGAGATGCAGAAAACATTTTATTGTATTTGTTTTATTTTCTGAACAGTTACATGGCACAGATGGCTTCACTCTGTCATCAGCAACTAAACTCATGAAACATGTTTGTTTTTACATCTAGGCAGATTTAACAGATTCTGATAGCAGCCCTGGTCTTGAAGTGCTGCCCTTAAAACTTGTTCTCTTTCCAGCGTTATTCTCATTCTCTCAACCTGCCACTCTCAAAAACTCATTTTTCTTTTTTTTTTGTCTTTTGTCTTTTTCCGTGTCCGGCAACGGATCGCAACCCTCAGTGTTGCCCCCGCGCCTCGCTCAGCCACTGAGCGGGAACTGGTCTGTATGTGGGATCCGAACCCTCGGGTGGGAGCGCAGCCGCGCTTCCCAAGCGGCACACTATCCAGTGCGCCACCGGGCCGGCCCAAAAACTCATTTTTCTTTAACATTTTGTACTACATGTTAAAACTATGGAGTCAAAGTAAGACCCAGGTGGATCTAAAGGGCTTCAGAGTACTATCAAGGGCACAAAATGGTTAGCAATAAAACCCCTGGTTTTTTTTTTTTCCTTTTTGTCTTTTTTACTGACCGGCAACGGATCGCAACCCTCAGTGTCGCGCCCGTACCGGACCGGGACCGGCAACGGGATCACAAACCTCGGTGTTGCTCCCGCACCTCACTCAGCCAGTGAGCGGCCGGTCTGTATGTGGGATCCGAACCCTCGGCGGGAGCGCCGCCACGCTCCCAAGTGGCGCACTGTAGCAGTGCGCCACCAGGCCGGCCCTAAAACCCCTGGTTAAGCACAATTATCATTAATAACATGAATCTAAAAAAGGTATTTAAATTCTAATATTCATGTTATAGGCGCTGGGAGAAATCACCCTCAGAGACCAATATGGAAAAAAAATAAAACTTTATTGCCAACAGCTGGGACCGTACTAGCCAATTCAGAGTGCGGCCCTGAGCCGTTTTTACTTTCGGTTTGTACTTTTATTTTATTTATTTTTTATTTTATTTTATTTTTTTTTTTCCTTTTTGTCTTTTTTCGTGTCTGGCAACGGATCGCAACCCTCAGTGTCGTGCCCGTACCGGACCGGGACCGGCAACGGGATTGCAACCCTCGGTGCTGCGTCCGCACCTCGCTCAGCCAGTGAGCGGGAACCGGTCTGTGTGTGGGATCCGAACCCTCGGCAGGAGCGCCGCCGCGCTCCCAAGCGGCGCACTGTAGCAGTGCACCACCGGGCCGGCCCTACTTTCGGTTTTTAAAGCTGCAAGCACGGCAATTCAGTCGCCCGAACACCACGCTAGGAGTTATTAGCGAATACAAGCAAGCCAACAGTATATAAGCTAATTGTGCAGTTAGCATGTCTCCTCCCAGACCCTCCCACATTTTCCTGCCCAGGTTTTTCCCACCTGAGTTTTTACAAAATGGAGGGGTTTTCTTAAAATGGCACCAGTCCTGTCAACAGCAGAAACATCATTTTATTCATAACTTCACAGAAACAGAGATTTTTCTGAAACCTCCTAGCAGGAAAAAATCCAGCTCACATAAGAATACTCTTAGATAACTTTAAAGAAGTTGCTTTTGTTTTTTGGCAAGATAATCTTTGCCAAGCTTCTTCATCACATCCCCATGGTTATTCCCGATGACCTCCTTCATAACTATTGTGTAATTCTCCTGCACATATCTGGCAAATGGTCTCACATGGGGCTTAATGGGGGTTCCATCTTTCCGAGTTAATGGCACCATGACCAGAGGCCTCCCACATCTGCCACAGACGGAGCGATCGATTTTCAATGATTTGCTATAGCGGCCAAATCTAGAGAGGAAAGGGACACCACACAACAAAGGAATCAGTCACAGTACCTCAGCATCAGCTCTGAGATGTTGGCCTTGGGCCCCCCAAAATAATTTTCTATGGGTTCCCAGAGTGAGGAACCAAGCAGCAATAGTGGTCAGGCTGGCTCAAGTTAGGGAAGATAGTGGGCAGAGAGAACATAAAGGAGTAGAGAGATTTTACTCCTCAAGTCAGATAGCCATCTACCTACTAATAAAATCACTGAAGGGCTACTTGGAGGCCGTAGTAAAAATGTAATTGGAAAAAGTCTGAGGAGAAGGGTCTTACCTGGCTTTGCACTGAGTACATTCATAATAAATCTTGTAGTTAATCTTATAGTTATGGCAACGGGTGATCTTGGGCAGCTCCGGGTGCACCATGTTGCATTTATTGGCATAATACTTCCATGCATCACCATGAGAATCACAGACACCATCGAACAGCCAGGAGGCTGCATGGCATAGCTCATGGATCAGGGTATCCCGGAGTCGGTCTTGGAAGAGTAATGAAAAGAAACTGTGAGCACTAAAACTGATTCACAACCCCTCAACTTTCGCCCCCCCTCCCCACAAAGCCATCTTCCAGAAGCATACACAGGCAGGCATGAGTGTTACCTTCCCAAGATTCCAAGAGGAATTCCAAATTCCACCTACTTCAAGCCGATTTTATTAATGGCAAAAAGAGCCTTCCTTAGGTAAGCAAGTCTTTTCAATGCACTCATGTTTTTGTGGGGTGCTGCTAGAGACAGATTTGGGCAAGACCTGGTTTTTGCCCTCCAGGAACAGAAGTGGACAAGGTGGGGAGCAATTGCTATGGCCATGGGATTTGGTCTGGAGAAGCTCCACAGGGAAACTGGGATCTGAGCCGGACCGTTAACAACTGACTGGATTAGCAAAGTGAGAAAGGCCTTTCTGGGTGTGGAGGAAAATGTGAGCAAGGAGTGGGGCCAGGAAGGTGTGAGATGCACTCTGAAGGCCAGTGTGAAAACGGCCTAGTTGGAGCCACAGGCAGTGAAACAGTGAGAGACAAGACCAGCCAAGCAGACTGGGGGCAGGTGACTGTGACCTCCTAGGTTTCTCAGCAAGAAAGCAATGCAGCGGTATGCAGAAGACTGAACAGATGAAGAGTGAGGGGATGAAGCCCATACCTGGGCAGAGGCAAAGATGGATAAGCAGTGATGATAGGAAGTGAAGGAAGATTTGGTGACTGGCTGGATATAGGAGACCTTGAACCTCAGCCACTGAGACAATGCAGATGCTGCTGCTGGCAAGGGGGATATGCAGAGAGAAAGTAAGCGTAGTAGAAAGACTGATGGGTTGGGTTTGCAGGAATGGTGAGAGAACCAGTAGTAATGTCCTCTAAGCAACACTCAGTAGGCTTGTCCACCCAGGAATGACAGTTCAAACTGACATGGGCTGCCAGCTAAGAGTAACTGAACAGGCACAGTGTTGGAAGGAAAGAGCACAGTGGTAAAGCTGCCACGCCCCTACTGTCACCTGCAGAATCACAGACTTTCAGAGAAATCTGAATCTTGGCATAGGGCTCCCTCTTCTTCCTGCCAGTGGTGCATAAGCCAGCAGTTCTCAGCATCTTGTTGCTCCAGCTGATATCCATCTTCTCCGGCAGCTGAGAATGAAACGCAAACAGAAGGGATCAGAAAACAGTTCTAAGCAGACCAGAAAATATTAACAGGAGTTTTTCTCCCTCTAATAAAAAGTAAAAGAACTTTCTCCCCCAGGTTCTTTGCTCACAGCCAAGTTTGAGAAGAAATCTATTTAAAGGGCACATAAATCTAATCATTCTGGGGAGAATAAAAGCCAAGTTGACGTCCTGGTAAAGACAATAGGCATTCGGGACATGAGGGAGACTGCTGAGACCAGGTGAGGGCAGGATCTGTGCTCCCTTGTGTGGACACAAAAGTCTGGGGCGGCCAAGCAGAGAAGCACAAGCTGCTGAGGTGGGCGAGACGGAAATCTGTGTGTGACAGTGGCGAGGCAGAACTGAAAATGCGACTCAGAAATGCCACTTCAGGCTCTGCTCGTTTGATGTGACACCACTTCACCAGGAAGACACTAAAGGCTGGGGAACCTTTAGGAAGATGCAAGAATTTCCCTCCATAAAGTCTTTTTCTTTTTGGCAGCAGGCCAGCATGGGAATCCAAACCCTTGACCTTGGTGTTATAACACCGTGCTCTAACCAAACCTCCAGAAAGTCTTGTTGCCCGAGACAATAAAAAGTCTGAAAAACCTAGTGGCCAATAGGTCTCTCTGCCTCCAGATTCTCTCTAATCTAGTCCATACTCCCAGGCTACAGTCAGATTAATTTCTTTCAGCAGCCACTTCATGCTACATCACACCCCTGGGCAGTAGTGCCTGCTGAGGTAAATTTAACCTCCTCCAACCAGACTCCCAAGGCCCTCCATTATCTGGCCCTAAGCTATCAAAAAATAATGAGCTTACGGTGTCCTAGGCCCTGTTTTAGGCACTTAATGTATATTAACTTACATGGGTCTGACAATAATTCTATGAGGTAGCAGGTACTGTTTTATCCCCCAGGAAACTGAAGCAAACAGGTTAAGTAACTTGCCCGAGGCCGCACGTCTCTTCCCTATTATCCTTCAGTGTGAACCCTCTCTTCCCGGTAATCAAGCCTCAGCACATGCCCTCTCCCATCACTGTTGTTCTCACCACTTACTGTGCTTTGAGAACCAGAACAAGTCTCACTTCCTCGAGGCAATTAATCCTATTTCCTGCCTGCTCAGGCTCTCAGCCATTTCTCCCTCTGCTGATCTCCTGTGGTAATGACAGTCTGTCCCACACATTGTAACTCATAAACATTCTCGATTTCTTTCACACATGACCTCCCCACCTAAACTGACACTTCTCAAGGACAGGAAGTATGAGGAGGTCTTCAGGTGCTCAATCAATGCTTAGCCATCGAGTCTACCTTTTTATCAAAGACAGAGCTGTTAAACAGGTGGCAGATTTTCTCAACCAGTTCGTCCTTATTCTTCTTGAAATTCTTTCCAGAATATTGTTTCAAGTTTTCAACATCACGCAAGAAACATCCAGGTACTTTGCACACAGAGTGGCTGCAAAGGTAAATTGAACTCAGTTTTGTATAGCTAAAGAAATAGGTAGAACAAATGCATGCATAAAGGTCATGTCAAGAGAGACTTGGAAAACTTGCTCCCTTTTCCCTTCAGCTCTTTAATGAGGGCATTTCTTCAGCTTCCATTCGCAGCCTTTTCCCCCACTCTGCACATTCTCAGGGATGGGAAGCCCATGGTTTTGACCTTCACAGGACTGATCCCCACACCTGTATATGCAGTCTCAAGTTCTCTCCTGAGAGCTAGTTCTGAATTTACAACTGCCTGATGCAAGTGTCCAACTAACATGAGGATATCTCCAGCTCAACATGCTCAATTATCAAACTTCTATTATAATTAGCTGAGAACCTCAGAAGGATCTTAAATTCCTTTTCTCCCTTACCCCATGTTCAACTGGGCACTGAGACAAACTGACATCTTCACATGACTCCCTCCAGACAGCCCCTCCGTCCCATCCCCACTGTCACGCCCCTAGCTCAAGTTCCTGTCCTCCCCTTTATGCCCCCATACCACAGTATTCCTCTAACCGCGTTCCTTACCTCCAAGCTCTTTTTCTCCTAATCCAACTGCATACCCTCCTCCAGGCTCATTTTCCTAGGCACTTTCCAATTAACGTCCTCCTTTAGCTTTTCATTGACTGCATTGCCTGACATTCAAGACCCAGGGCAATCTAATCTGGTCCCAACCTCTATTTCTGGCTACCATACCCACTGTAGTTAAACTGGGCAACTTAAATGTTCCCTGGACACAAACTGGGACTTCCTGCATTCGTGCCTGGGCACAACCTATTTTCCCATGGCCTAGAATGACCACATGGCCACCTCTACTGAGAAGACCATACTTCCTTTCGTATTATCATATTCAGTCCTCACAAGCACCCTTCAAAGAAGCTATTGCTATTGTTTACAGTTGCCACTTTGCGGACAGGAAACTGAAGCTCAGCGGTTAAGTGACTTGCCCAAAGATCACAGAGACAATGAATCTTCTGACCCAATCCTCAAGGTCTTTCCATTGACCCACAACTGCCACCTAATTCAAATGGCAAAGAATAGTGCTGAGCACATAAAGGACTCACACTTGTAATAACCACTTATTTAAACTGAAGCATTTTTATCTTGGCTGGAACAACCCACAAGTCCAGAGAGATAAGCCTACAGAACTGGGAAGATAAAACAGGAGCAAACACAGTGAGTTTCTGACTTAACGGAACCCTTGAGACTTAGATTTTGCTAGAACACTCATTAACCCTTGAGGCACAAAATGAACCCTATGTGAGGAGGTTGGGTGGAGAGAGGGGAAGGTACCAGACAAGGCAAAGGAGGCTAATGCAATGGTTTTCATCCTAAAGCCTGATGCGCATGACTCAAAATTGCTGCCTCCAGTTACTTAGGTTTCAAAGCAAATTTGCATGAGAAAAGGCAAACCTGAACCATCTGCAGGATCCAGCAGGGGCAGGGCCTGTGACCCCCATGAGTGTGCACATGGAGAGCTGGCCTTGTGGCTTAGGATATTGTCACCTCAAGGCCTATGCCACTTTACTGCAGGCTGAGTGTCTCCACATCAGGGGAGCCAACAAGACCCCAAACTAGGTACATCAGTCACCATGACCAGCAAACAGCCTATGCAAGAACAACACTAAGCACAACAGGAAGCCTCCAGACTGACACAGGAAGTACCAAGGCAACAGTTACGAGTCCAGACAAGCTAGCCTCCTTTGGATGATGCAAACCAACACCAAGGGGCAGCGTCTCCATTTTTTGTAGCATCTCTAGCAAAACAACCTGGGAGCTACCCAAGACATATGTCCCTATGGGCAAAGCAGCTGAAATATATATATATCTAGGAGTCCAGAAGAAACCTTGCTGGAAGGGGATCCATCCTAAGAGAGTGCATGGGAGCTGCAGCTGCTGCTTTCACCAGAAAAAGCACTGAAAGAGGGCCTTCCGTCCACATCCGAGTGGCTCTGTAGCCCCAATGCCTGACACATCATTCCTTTCCCCCTCCCTTAAGATGCATTTATTGTCCCAAAATGCAGGTTAAGAAATAACATACAGTCCTTCAAATACTTCCTTCTCTTGTAAGATAATTCAGATATAATTATATACTCCTCCTGAATTCAAGTAAAACAAAGACAATTATGCTTACTATATCATATTTTAAGGGAAAAAATCAGAAGCTCCTGGAATCTAAATAAGACAATGTGTTAATCTTTTGCTTTAAGTATTAACATGTCTTTGGTCTAAATGATCAGCTGTTTTCCAATCTATATGTAGCTAACCAAAGGAACTACAAGCAATCTGTTTCATCCTAACATTTAAGTTTTAAAAATGCACAAGGATATACACAGTAGTAAGAGTAACTGGGTTCACCCAAAACATTAGAGAAACCTGGAAGACCATCTTGACCGCCTTCCCTCCAACTCCAGCAGACAGAGCGACATGTCATTTCCACCTTCTCACCACTTCCCACTGCGTTTGCCTTAGCTTACTGCAAACTGCTGGCCATGAGGCTGTATTCAGGCTGGAAAAAAGTGCCGTTTGACTACACATCATTCTTTGATCTGAGTTTAAGAACAAAGGATACCTCAAGAGGTCAGAGCTGCTGAGGTGGCAGAAGGGCCCCACTCTGACCAGTTAATTGCAAGGACCCTGGCCAAGTGTGCCCCCTGAAGCCCCCCGTGTTCAAAGAAGGAAGCATGCCCCTCCACACCAGAGTCCTTCATTCCCTTGAAGTGCCCCCCCAAGTGCCCAGTGGACTGCCTAACATGCAACAATCATGCAATCAATTCCTGTTCAACTGAACACAAGCAGTACATACCCAGTCTTGCCTTTTTCAACTTCAGTTGCTGTGGGTTTTTTCTTTGAAGGCCCACGTGTCTTTCGTTCTTTAACAGCTGAAAGGATAATAGTTCATTTGTACCCTGAAAATGGATACCATCAAACAACTGACAGAAAGGTAAACCCAGGAAGAACCCCCACAACCAAGCCCAGAGCAACATCTATAAACAAAACTGTCTGAAGCCTGCATACTGCTGCATCAGTCATCCTGAATGATTTCACCTGCCATGACTTGCAGAGCTGCCAGCAGAGTGAGCTAGGGAGGGTTCTGTCGTGGGCACCGAGGCCTATAATGAGGGTACGCAAGTTTGGTGTCAGAGGCTGCGCCATCCACGGAAGGCATGCCACAGCTCAGGCACCTGCTCTGAGGAGTGGCTCACTTCCCAGGCAGCACCTTCATCCACTGTGCAAGCCAGACCTTTCTACCTTCCCCTAGGACCCATACTGCTGGCTGCTTTAGCCAGAGACTTATCTATCAATAGTTAGTGTCATTCATGCATTTATTGTAAAAATGTATTAAACATAGGGGCCAGCCCATGGCTCACTTGGCTGAGCGTGGTGCTGACAACACCAAGTCAAGGGTTAAGATCCCCTTACCGGTCATCTTTTAAAAAAAAATAAAAATAAAAAAAAAATAAAAAAATAAAAAAATAAAATAAGGGGCCGGCCCGGTGGCGCACTGCTACAGTGCACCGCTTGGGAGTGCGGTGGCGCTCCCGCCGAGGGTTCGGATCCCACATACAGACCGGTTCCCGCTCACTGGCTGAGCAAGGTGAGGGTGCGACACTGAGGGTTGCGATCCCGTTGCCGGTCCTGGTCCGGTACGGGCGCGACACTGAGGGTTGCGATCCGTTGCCGGACACGAAAAAAGACAAAAAAAAAGGAAAAATAAATAAATAAAATAATGTATTAAACATCTATTACATGCCGAGCACCAGGCTAGACCCTGAGGGAGACTAAAAGAAGAGTAGGAATCCTCCTGTAAAGAGGCTCAGATGACTGGGGGACAGACTTAGGAACATATTAGAACACAGTGTGATTAGTGCTTTAGAAGAGACAGGCTCTAGAACTCTGGGAACCCAGGATAGAGGAGCAACTCTGACTTACGGCTTTGCAGAGGAAGTGACAATTGGGCTAGGTCCTAAGAAAAGTGGGATATACTCAGGACAAAAGGTGCAGGGAGAACACACCCAGGAGGGCACAACAGCAAATACTAAAATATGGGAGCATGAGAAAGACGGGGGCAAACTTCCCCCACTCCCAGAAAGATCCTGGTCACTGGGATGGCTGCCTCCCTTGGCCACTAGGAAGTTGCTGAAACAGCAGAGGGCTGGCAAGCAGGATGGGCAGACCCGACAAGACAGGCAGGTCCAGCAGAAAAGGTAGGGAAAGCCCACTTGGCTGGCGAGGCACAGGCGCTGGGACACGCATACTTGGCATTACTGGCTTACCAGGTGTCACACAGAGATTTTTGGTTTTTTCCTTTCTTTTCTTCGGTTGTTCCACCACAGACACAGGCTCATCATCAGATGGCAACTTTCTATCTAAAATCTCTAGGTTAGGCTTAAGACCATTTGGTGGCTGGCAGAGATTTTTACCAAAGTCTTGCTCACCAACACCAGCATCTGATGTGCGACGGAAGGTAGCAAGCTCAGCCAGCTCTTTTTCAGCTGAGGAAATTTGGCCCTGATCACACAAGTCTTCGAGCACAGGACCCTCCAAATCACTACTATCATTGTCATCATCATCATCATCAGTAATAAGTATTGGAGGCTCCTGGATGGTAGGCTCCATGTCGGTATCAGATAAGTCTTCCAGAACCTCATCTGAAATTTGAGACACAATTATATGTAAATATAGGCCCCCACCCCCTTCTTATACATTAACTTCAGCAGATTACTTAGCACAAATTAAATAAGCTGCGAACTGTGGCATTATGAATCACTGTTAGGAATCCCAGTTATTCTGGATTGTTTTCCTTCTATTTCTTTTTTATTTTACTGAGAGCAGTGACAGATAAAATAGCAATCAAAGTCCAATGGCAATTTTCAAATCACATTCCCTAAGTAGCATGATGTAGTTGCTCAGTGGTTCCCAAACACAGGTCAGCACGCTTGTATATTTCACTGGTCCACAGCAAAATGAGAAATTAGAATAATAAAGTGGTGGTTTTTTCCCCAAATTAAATTTCTATAATTTAATGGAGTGTCCTTCATTGTATGATTATGTCCCAGCTAAACTTAGTTCTCTTTACGAAATTACGGAGACAGCAGATGGTAGTTGGAATTTTTTTCCTTCATTACACAAATTAAAAATTGACAACTCTATGTTGGTTATCAAAACTTCATCTTTTAAAATTAGTCTGTAAGTGCAAAGCTCTCAGAACCACTGAGTAAGAGTCAGGAGTTAGGTCCTGATGTCAGTACTCTCAAGAGGCCTTGGGGACATTCAAAACATCACTGCCTGCACTGAGGGTCTTGTCATCTGGAAACATCCACATGCTCTCTGGTGTCAGTTCAGAGCTCAAGCTCTAGGTTTCCAAGATTCTGGATGTAAAAAAAATCTAAATCATGGTATGTGCAAGATGTGAAGATATATTTATAATGCAAAAACTCTTTATCCTAAAATTGCAGCATCCATTATTTGAATCAATTATGAAAGAACTTCAAATATGCGATAAGGAAAGAGAAAAGGAGTGGGTGTTCCTATGGTAAAAAGTCATCTTTCCTAGAAAATTTAAAGATTTCCCACCTTTGGTTGAAATTTTTAAAAAACTAAAAACTAAAAAATAAATAGAAAATAAAAAAAAGATAGGGACACACTGCTTACAATACATAAAAAATTACTACATGCATTGACAAAGGCTAGAGGTTAGAAGTGAGGTTTGAAAGTATGTTTAAAGCTCATTGGATCTTTTTTTCTATAAAATTACCTAACTTCACTACAGTAACAAAAGAAATGCCATGTGCAGAACACTACAGACACATGCAAAGCCAGTGGGTGCCCACAGGTAGAGTCCATGGGTCAGAAAGGTAAGAGCAGCCTCAGCTGAAAGTTCACCCTCAAAAGAACATCTCTTCTGATTCCAGGAGTCAGCAACTGGTGGCCTATGGTGATGGAGGGGTTTCTGGCTCTTTCACTCATGATCTGCTCTAAAGCTGCCTCCCTGGGGGTTCCCTTTGCATTAGAGTAGCTGTCATGTCAGACCTGCTACTCTGCACCAGGACATCTGTCTTACACAGGCACAGCCACCTAGAGCTACAGAGGGGGAGGGGGGAAAGATATTCAAGAGGACAGGTGGCAGTGAAACAGCAGGAGACTAGGATTCCAAGCCGCCTCTCCTCTCCCTGCTCTGATATCTTGGTTAGCCAGGAAATTGGCCAACGGTAGCTCTTGGGCAGTTATCTAAGAAGTAGCCAGTACTTTAAGGGCCTCCCATTTTCAACTGAGTTCAGCTCAGCAAACATCAACCAGGTGCCTCTGTATCATGTCCTACACCTGGTACTGAATGAACAAAAATCAATGAAATACTATTCCTAATGCTCAATAAGCTTCTAGGGCCAGCCCCATGGCTTATTTAGGAGAGTGCGGCGCTGGGAGCACCGAGGCCACGGGTTTGGATCCTATATAGGGATGGCTGGTTCACTCACTGGCTGACTGTGGTACAGACAACACCTTGCCGGGGGTTACAATCCCCTTACCGGTCAAAAAAAAAAAAAGAAGCTACTAGTCTTCCTGTTTCATGTCCCTGAGCAGGTTCTGAAATGTGAGTAAAGCTCCGAGCCTCCTGAAAGGTTAAAAGGGCCTCTGATTCCAACAGGCAAGGATCTGCTGTGGGAAACAGGGACTAAGGAAAATAGGAATCTCTAGAAAACAAAGGCAATAACAAAAGGCAAAGGCCAACAGCTCCAGGCAGGAAGCGAGGATTTCCCTGACACGCCCCTGCCACTGGTCCAAACCATCGCCCATCCAAGTCTCCAGCTAGCTGGGAAGAGGGAAGAGGATGCCTCTTACTCCTTTCCTCTCCCACACGGAGAGGATGAGGGAAAGAGAGGACAATGGAGTAGCCGAGCAGCCTCCACAATTCTCAGCCCCAGTTCTTGCCTTTCTCCCCTCTGCTCCCTGGGTACAGTTCTAGGCAGGTAAGCACTCTACTGAGGGGCACGCCTGAGATCTAAGGCAGCAAGTACCAGTTGTTGCTGTGTTCAGAAGCTGACCAGGGAGTAGGGAACCAGCCAGATCCACATACTGCACACAGGAGCAAATAAACGGTGGCATTTGCTACAAAGCGATTCCAAATGCAAAGTTTGCTGATTCTGATCCCCCAACTACGATGCATGATGAGGCTTCAGAGCACAGTCACTTCTCTAATGAGTAGTATACTTGCCTTCTATAATTTCGGATAACTTAGCTTTCTTTCCTTCACAGAAGTATTCATCATCAGAATCAGAGTCAATCACAATAAAGCTGAGTGATGAAACAGAAAAACAAAGAAAGAAATGTGAATGCAACATTCTTCTCTCCATGACATTTTCTACCTTTTCTACAATGAACGTGATCACTTGTCTGTCTTTTGTCTGTTTCCCGCAGTAACTGTTCCCCTTCTTTGGAACTACTGAATCTTCCTGCTATTCCTGATGTTTCATCTTTTCCATCTTTCTGCTGCAACTTTCCATCTGTCTCACATCATTTCCAAAGGAGGTGACTGTCGGTACTGAGGGTGAAATGGGCTCTGTCAGAGGGGATGTACTTTGGTGCAAGGGAAAAATTGATCAGGGAAGTGTCTAGCTAATTGTTATTTTTATCAACTTTGAGATCCAACTGTCTGAAAAGGGTAGAGGGCAACAGACGGAGAGAGGCAGCTTTAGAGCAGGAAGTCTTGTCCTCAGCGCCACTCTCAGCAGTCTGGAGCCAGCACTCCCTCTCTGACAGACTGCTCTGGCAGGAGCCAAACTCAGCAGTGCCCTTGTGCCACCCAGGTTCCAGGGGTGAGCATCCCCTGGGCCCTCATTTTCAGCTGGCCCTGGTATTTGGGTCACAGGTTCTGGCAAGTTAAAATTTGCAACCCTCCTGGGCCGGCCCGTGGCTCACTCGGGAGAGTGCGGTGCTGATAACACCAAGGCCCCGGGTTCGGATCCCACATAGGGATGGCCGGTTCGCTCACTGGCTGAGCGTGGTGCTGACAACACCAAGTCAAGGGGTAAGATCCCCTTACCGGTCATCTTTTTTAAAAAAAAAAAAAAAATTTGCAACCCTCCTGGGCCGGCCCGTGGCTCACTCGGGAGAGTGCGGTGCTGATAACACCAAGGCCCCGGGTTCGGATCCCACATAGGGATGGCCGGTTCGCTCACTGGCTGAGCGTGGTGCTGACAACACCAAGTCAAGGGGTAAGATCCCCTTACCGGTCATCTTTTTTAAAAAAAAAAAAAAATTTGCAACCCTCCTGGGCCGGCCCGTGGCTCACTCGGGAGAGTGCGGTGCTGATAACACCAAGGCCCCGGGTTCGGATCCCACATAGGGATGGCCGGTTCGCTCACTGGCTGAGCGTGGTGCTGACAACACCAAGTCAAGGGGTAAGATCCCCTTACCGGTCATCTTTTTTAAAAAAAAAAAAAAATTTGCAACCCTCCTGTATTTTCCAAACAGTGTGCCATAGGTAAAGACACACTTTTATGATGAGAAAGAAAAATACTTAAAACTCTGTTACAGGACCTGACTGTACCTGTTACAACAAGACACAAATGTTAATCTATTTCCACCATGTTCACCACTTTTTTTTTTTTTTCCTTTTTGTCTTTTTTTCGTGTCCGGCAACGGATCACAACCCTCAGTGTTGCGCCCGTACCGGACCGGGACCGGCAACGGGATCGCAACCCTCGGTGTTGCTCCCACACCTCACTCAGCCAGTGAGCGGGAACCGGTCTGTATGTGGGATCCGAACCCTCGGCGGGAGCGCCGCCACGCTCCCAAGCGGCGCACTGTAGCAGTGCGCCACTGGGCCGGCCCCATGTTCACCACTTTTAAGCTGCTGAATGTTATAGGCGTCGGGAGAAAATCACCCTTGGAGACTGATATAGAAAAAAGAGAAAAAGATTTTTATTTCCAGTGGCTGGGACTGCACCAGCCAATTCAAGGTGCGGCCCTGAACCGTCTTTGTTCTCAGTTTTTAAAGCTGCAAGCGCAGCAACTCGGTCGCCCGATCACCATGCCAAGAGGTATTAGCCAATGCAAGCAAGCCAACAGTACATGAGCTAATTTTGCAGTTAGCGGAGCTCCTCCCATTCCACCCCCACTTTCCCGCCTAACTTTCACACAATGGAGGGGCTATCTTAAGTGGCGTTGGTCCTGCTCTTAGAAAGAGGGCATTACTTCATTGAGTTGATGGGCATTTGCTATCCTGTTGACCACACCATCCTTAAAATTCTTTTTTCTTGATTTCTGGGACACAGTTGTCTTTTGGTTCTTGTCTCACCTTTCCATCCACTCCTCATGTCTCTTCTCCAACTCACTCCCAAGGTATATTCACAGCCCTCTCATGCCAATCCAATTGCTTCCTAACGATTGGGCTACCAATCCTACATATGTATATACATGCCCAAAACAGAACTCATCACCTTCCTCCCCAAATCCACTCTTGCTAGAGTATCCCATATACAGAAGCCACCTGGGACTGGACCAAGACCTGTGGGCACTCCTAGCAGGCCCCTTAAAACAGATTTTCTTTAAATATTTGTTTGGCCTTTATCAAGTGGAGGCTGAAAGAAATCAATTTTTCTATTTAAAAATAGGATACTTTTTTATTATCAAGTTAGGACTTTAGTATATACAATACTGTAAGCCAGAATACTTCTTAGGAGCCATGATAGACTATTTAAAATGTAAATAACAGTGACAGAAATCCTCTGCATCTTGATGCTGGTGATAGCTACACTACCTCATACATTTGTCAAAATCCAAACTGTACAGGGCCGGCCCGTGGCTCACTCAGTAGAGTGCAGTGCTGATAACACCAAGGCCACGGGTTCGGATCCTATATAGGGATGGCTGGTTTGCTCACTGGCTGAGCGTGGTGTTGATAACAGCAAGCCAAGGGTTAAGATCCCCTTACTGGTCATCTGTTAAAATAAATAAATAAATAAATAAAAGGTGGTGCCTAATCCTCTGCTTGGAGTGTGGGCTAGACTTAATGACTAGAAGTTATGGGCCATGACTTGGAGACTAGGTCATAAAAGGCTCGGTGGCATTCTGCTTGCTTGCCGTCTGGATCGCTTGCCCTGGGGAAAGCCAGCTGCCTGCTGTGAGAACACGCATGAAGTCCTACAGGAAGTTTCACTTGATGAAGAACTGAAGCCTCCAGCCAGGAGCCACATGAGTAAGCCCTGGTCAGGCTTTCAGATGAGGCAGCCTATAACTCTGTCTTTTAAAACTTATAGCAACCTATTATTGTCTGTGTTTGGAGTAGAGTAAAAAGTTTTAAATGTAAAAATCACAGACATATTTCTTTATTTTTAACATTTTGTTTGTGCGTCATTTCATTTTAAGTAAATCTTTTGTAAAGAGCTTATATTTAGCTTTGGCTTTATTTTTTTTTTCAACCTAACTTGAGAATCTTTGTCTTTTAGCAGGGAAATTTAACCCACTGATTTCTGTTCTTTTAGAAGTGTTCTGTCTGGTGTGGCGCCTGTCTTTATTGTTTCTCTTCTGTTTATATGCACTTTGGTGTTATTTTTGACTTTCTCCTGACTTTTGCTGGAAAAATACCTCTTTGTTGCTATCCCTCTCCACCCTATGCAAAGTGATTTGGAATTTTAGCATCTCACTTGTATTCTACTAGTGACAATCTTTATATATATATATTTTTTTTTTCATTTTTGTCTTTTTTACTGACCGGTAACAGGATCGCAACCCTCGGTGTTGCGCCCGTACCGGGGACTGGCAACAGGATCGCAACCCTTGGTTTTGTGCCCGCACCTCGCTCAGCCAGTGAGTGGGAACCGGTCTCCACATGGGATCCGAACCTTCGGCGGGAGCGCCACTGTGCTCCCAAGCAGCGCACTCTCCAGTGTGCCACCGGGCCAGCCTACTGGTCATCTTTAAAAAAAAAAAAAAAAAATCCAAACTGTACACCTAAAAAGGGTGAATTTTGCTTTATGTAAATCATACCTCAATAAGCCAGACTTCAAAAGTATCATCTCCAATTAATGGCTTTATGCAATGCCCAATTTGATTCTATAATTTCAGCTGACGGCAATTTCTGACTTTAAATGACTTTTCACACATTGGTGTCTGGCTTAATGGCTTACATGTTGCAAAAATACTTAAGAGATAAATCAGGGCTAGAGAGAAAAGAATTTTTCCCAATTGACAGCACTATTTAGCCTGAGGAGGGGGGCAGGAATGACCAATTCACATTTCTACAGCAATTCAAGGATGAGGTGGAAACCATGATTATTTAGCACCATCTTTCAGATTTATTCCAATAATTTTTTCAGCACCCCCCTATAGTTTGGCACCTGGGCAACATTTCTTCATCTAGCTCTGGCTAGAGCAGAGAGTTCATTAATAGGAATAGTAGTAGAAAAGGCTGAAAGACAGGTTAGGGTCAGATCACAGAGGGCTTTAAATATGGGGCTAAGCAGCTTAATCTTTATATGATGGGCTATTTGAATTGGGAATCAATATGATTAAAGCAGTGCCTCAGGAGATTCATCTGGAAGTGGCATGCAGACTGGACAAGAGGAGGAAGAGATCAGCGTGAGGAGTCCACTTAAAAAGGAATAAAGGCTAAGATGGCGATGGGTCTGGAGCGGCCGTGACAGGAGACAGCGCGATCCTGTGAGCTGTGCGCTGTGATACCAGAGTATTGATTGCATTTCCAAGAGCAACAAAAGGCGAATAATTCTTTCAACAACGATCCTACATCGACAAACAAGCGGCAGCAGGTTCGAGGTTTTGGGGCCGACACAGAGGAAGACTCCTGAGAGCGCCCAAGCCCGGCTGCAGGAACGAGCGATCAGCCCGGACAACAAAGGCCAGGAAAGCCAGCAAAGGACTGCGCAGAGGCGGAGTGAAGCATGCCAG